CAATTCCGACTGTAATACAACAAGAAAAATAGACCTGATCCTCTCTCTCTCTCTCTCTCTCTCTCTCTCTCTCTCTCTCTCTCTCTCTCTCTCTCTCTCTCTCTCTCTCTCTCTCTCTCTCTCTCTCTCTCTCTCTCTCTCTCTCTCTCTCTCTCTATCTCTCTCTCTATCTCACACCCTCTCGCCCCCGGAGGGGGGGGGTGGCTAGTTCTGTCTCCCAGAAGAGAATATATCTCTCTCTCTCTCTCTCGCTCTCTCTCTATGTGTGTGTGTGTGAATGTATGAGTGTGTGTATGTGTGTGTGTGTGTGTGTGTGAGAGAGTGTGTGTGTGTGTGTGTGTGTGTGTGTGTGTGTGTGTGTGTGTGTGTGTGTGTGTGTGTGTGTGTGTGCGTGCGTGGGCGTGTGTTTATTTTTCTTTATCGCCCGCTTTCTCAAAATGCGGTTTTTCTGTATTATACTTTTTAATAACTCCACCATTTTTCTTCCAAGCTTCCTGAAAATTTCACAGAATGAAGAGAAGATGTAATACCCAAAAAAATATTTTTAAAAAAATTAAAAATAAATGGTATGATGGATTTTTGATATATATATATATGGAATAGATTTTTTTTTGGGGTGGTGTCTGGACAGTGGATTTCACAGATTTTTTGCAAAATTGAATACAACCTCTTGAAAAAATTCATTAAAAATCTTCTAACTCGTTTAAGAAAAAATCAACAGACAAGTTTGTTGATCTTATGATTGTTAACATGTGTACAAACCCCCCCCCCCCCCCCCAATCTTTTCCTTTGAAAAGTAAGTGCGGTAGAAATTACATGAGACATGTCAATAAAATCCAATATGGCCGCCGTAGCCATGGACACAAACCTTTTTTTCTCAAATTTGATTTCAGATTTTAAGACTCCTTACTATGCTTGTTACATGTGTGAAATTTGGTAAAATTTGACCCTCAAACCAGCGAGATAGCCTTCAGGTGTACCCCCCCCCCCTCACTTAATTGAGACTAAAGTCAGTGCTCTAGGTAAAAAAAAACCCCACATATACTGACCATTTTGTAGTAGTTATTTACATAACGTATAGAGTAAAAAAAATTATGTTTAAAGTCAGTTTTCTCTAAAAATTGAACACTGCTGCACAAATTTAGCGTAATATATTCCCTGCTGGGTATTACACAACAAAAGAAAAGCTACAAATGCTAAAAATTTAGTTCAACAAAACATCAGTACAATGTAGAGTTACAGACAGCGCTTAGCAATGCAGTATTATAGCCATTGGCTAGAGAATATATGTGTACATGGTGTATTATTGAGTGAACTCGTATAAGAAATAACTGAGAAAAAGATAATAGCATCTAGAAATTGACTTGCATATATAGCATAAGTAACAGGAGAGAGTTGCTTGGGTGCTGGTTATCCAAATTTTGTACTGTAAGTCAGTTGGTGTTGCATGTAAAGTCTTACTTATGCTTTCTATGTCATCAGTTCATCTTCATTGCTGTCATTTCTTCTTCATCACTGGTATCATAATAGAGGAGATGGTTTTCATCCATATCTTCCTCTTATTCTGTGTCTGTTACTGACAAAATATTAACCAATTGTTGAGGGACCAAGTCTTTGCACCACTCCACTGATAGTGATAGCACTCCACAGTTACCTCTCTTTCAACGATGATCTTGTGGAACAGGTATTAATGGTTGAGCCAGATCTGCTTGCTTGCTTCCATATTAAAGTTTGATAGTTTGCGCGTAGGATGTGCAGCTTCATGGCTTCTCTGCATAGTGGTAGCAAGTTGATGTCAAATCCATCAAAGCATGGCAGTAAGCTTTGACCTTTTGCCATTACTTTAGCCTTAAAGGTCATGATGAAGCTTGTTTGTTCTTGAGTAAGCTGGTTTTCCGTACATGTGACAAAATAACGTTTCCAGATTGGAAAACAGTTCTGAAGAAACAGTTTCAGATGTTCCTAGCTTCTTTAATGAACCAGCAAACTCTAGGTGCTTGTGGAGAATGGTGAGCGGCTTCACCTTTCCTTTCTAGACAAATGTGCTAGTCACATCACATCCAAAGAATGCGTGGAGTCCAAGAATAGAATCCTGCACAATGTGTTTCCGTTTTGTCACAGAGCATCTGAATGTGTAGACGTCTTTTGTTCCCAACCCCTGTGTTAAAATACAAACGGTGTGTGAAATGTTGAACAAATTCAATCATCTGTAGAAAGATATCAGTGTCTGGGGACCGAATAATGATGTCTGCGATAATTTGTTCTGTAAGCAGTGTTCTTTTTTTTGGACATCTCCTCTTGTTGTATAGTTTTGGTACTTTTCCTGGAATTTTTCAATCAAAACACCGAAAGCTGCATCTTTCTTTTGTCTGTTGCTGTAATCGTCACACTTCGCTTTCTATGGGGCTGGTAAACGTTTGTAAACCTCGATAAACTCCAATTGCAATGCCCTGTCTTCTTCTTCATCAGACGGTCTATACATGATGACGGTACGAAATCTTGATGAAAAATGATTATTGCACAATTTTATCGACGGTCGCCACACACGGTCAATTAAATTGTTCAAGCAAGTAGACTTGTGTAATAAAATATCAAACTGATTTTGATTGACTCAATACAACTGCGCAAGTCGCCAATATCGCCCTCACACAGTCAATTGTATTGTAAGTTCCAAGTATTGACAATTCAATTGCACAAAATAATTGATCGTGTATGGGCCGCTTAAGCTTGTAGATTTCACCCATCTGCTGTTTAGACGTCTCCATCTGAGTCTGGAAAAGTACAACCAATGTACTCACCCGTCTCTTAAATCGTGTTTCTAAGGCGAACGTTAAGGTGTGGCGTTGAAGAAAATATGTCAACTTTTTATGTTTATGTGTGTGCTGTAAATACCATATTATTATTATTCTATTGATCCGCTTTAGGCTAACATCAAAGAAACTTGTGGGAACCTTAGTTTACTGTGGTCTTTATAGAAATGGGCTTTTAAAAAGTTTTAGATTCTGTTGGCTATCCAATTTTTAGACCAGTATGCAAAGATGAAAAGATCTGAGATGATTAAACAGAACAATTTCATTGTGGTCAGACCAAAATGAACAAGCTATAATTGTAGTTTTATATTGATTATGTCAGAACTGACCACCGAAGGCCAACGTGTAACAAGTCAAAACTGACCAGTTTACAAGTAACAAGTCAAAACTGACTACTGTACAAGTCAGACCTGACCACTGTACATGTCAGACCAGACCAGTGTACATGTCAGACCAGACCAGTGTACATGTAACAAGTCAGACCTGACCACTGTACGTGTAACAAGTCAGACCTGACCACTGTACGTGTAACAAGTCAGACATGACCAGTGTACGTGTAACAAGTCAGACCTGACCACTGTACATGAAGTAACAAGTCAGAACTGACCAGTGTACATGATGTAACAAGTCAGACCTGACCACTGTACGTGTAACAAGTCATACATGACCAGTGTACGTGTAACAAGTCAGACCTGACCACTGTACATGAAGTAACAAGTCAGAACTGACCACTGTACATGATGTAACAAGTCAGAACTGACCAGTGTACGTGTACTAAGTCAGAACTGACCATTATACATGTAACAAGTCAGGACTGACCACCGTAGGTGTACTAGGGCTGGGATTATACGGGTAATTTGATACCCGGGTAATGAAAAAAATACCCGAGTACCCGTCGGATACCCGACATTCCAATTATCATGTAACTGTGTTTCTGTACTGCTCTGCCTCCTTGCGATTTCATTTGCGTGTTTTCCCTTCAAATACTATAAGGGCTTGAAGTTGAAGACCCATCAACTTTTATTATGCTTTTGCAGATGTTGCAGGAGACCCTTTTTTCGTCTTTTATTTTCTCAAAGTAATCCCAAGCGTTTGACTTTCTTTGAGACATCTTGATAGAAACTGCTAAAATGACAAAGCCAAAGCTATTTAAATTATTTTATATGTACTTCACATCATTTTTGGAATTTTCCGCTTCTCCGTTGGATTCTTAGAACTGCACACACGTTGCTTCCTTGTATAAGGACACTGAAATTAAAACTATAGGCTTAGCCCTCCCAAAGTGTCCGATTGATTCTTGGAAATTTCTTTATATAGCATTCCCAAATATGGCCTTTTTGTGCTCTGCTGGTTTCCAGGGAAAAGAGGTACGAGTAGTGGTGGGCACTAGACGATATTGGCCAATATCGAGTACTGTTTCGACTTACAGAGCTCAGTATCGATAAAGTACATGTACTCAGTACTTAATGAGATTCGAACGAAGGGACGTAATTTAAGTGCATTTGCATAGCATTAAGGAAGGGGAGTTTAAAAAACCCCGGGTACCCGACACCAATACCCGGGTAGCCGGTTTTGAGCTCTTTACCCGGGTACCCTGGTAGCTACCCGGGTGCTCGCCCAGCCCTAACGTGAACCAAGTTAGAACTGACCACTGCACGTGTAACAAGACAGAACTGCGTTAAATATCTGCAATGTAAAAGATGGTGGTTGCTCTTGACGTGTTACACCATAGTCAGTTCTAATATATATGTGTCGTAAGTTCAGACTTATTACATGTATGGTGATCAGTTCTGACTTGAACAGTGGTCAGTCCTGACTTGTTACACGTACGGTGGTCCGTTCAGACTTGTTACACATGCTGTGGTCATCCCATCAACACAATTTAGATCATTTAGAAGGCGGCCGCAGTTTGAACCCTGCCTGCCAGGGCCGACCTGGGCTAAGAGGGATGCAACGTTCCAGCAGACAGACGGAGACACTCCGTTCATAAATACCTCCCAACACGGGAATCGAACTTACGTCTTTTGAGTGCGACTGCGGAGTCCCAAACTGTTGCACCACACAAACCGGTGTTTGAGGCCTGCCTGTGATCGTTTGTCTGCAGAATAATATTTTTCCCGAGGTGAGTGGTATTATTCATTTTTAAAATGTATCTACACGTTTATAATATATATATTTTTTAATTTCCAGTCTTTGCTGGTGTCTACTCGAGCCGTTACAGAGTAACCAACTTTTACATTTGGCTGAACTATGGCATCAACACGGCGGCCCGCGCAGACTCCGACAGCTCCTTCGAGGTCAAGCGTTCCCACCAGTCCTTTTGATTTTGAAGTAAGGAACTATGGCGACCTTCAGCGACTGCGCGACGTCATCTACAACGAGTTCCTCGTCTCGGCTCAGCGAGCCAGTGAGCAAAAGAATAAAGTTTTGGCTTTTCAGAAATACTCTGATTGCCATCGTCTTTTAGAGGTGGGGCTGAGGGTCTACTGTAAGCGCTTGGGGGACTGCAATAGGGGTAAGAGGTCCCAGGCCAAGTTAATGCAGCAGAAGATGAAAAAGACAAACCAGGAAGTGGTGCTGAGACTGTAAGAGTTGCAAGATGACGTGGCACAGGAGGCTGGGGAGCTGCAGGTCAGTGTGAGTGTGTGATTGTATTTAATGTATGTTTTCCTGCGAGAACTGTTGGCACACTATGGTGTGTGTGTGTGTGTGTGTGTGTGTGTTGTGTTTGTGTGTGTGTGTGTGTGTGTGTGTGTGTGTGTGTGTGTGTGTGTGTGTGTGTGTGTGTGTGTGTGTGTGTGTGTGTGTGTATCTTTTAGTTGTGGGGGGAGGGGTTGTATAGTAGAGATGCCAACCCTGGTTGCGAGTGAACTATGAACTTTCTTTAAGAGATTATGGTTACATTTATTCTTGTTGTGATCGGATTTAACAGTCAGTGTGTGGTCATGCCAAAGATTCTCCACTACCAAGATGTTTCAATTGCCCTAATCTGGCGTCCGCGTGAGATTTGGGCGCTACTTTGAGTTAGCGCGTGACGGCCCGTGGAACGACTCAACGAGTGTAAACAAACGTTCCAGCGCTCTTGATTGAAAGCGTGCAATTCTGCTCCCGGACAGTGAGAGAGAGAGAGAGAAAGAGAGAGAGAGAGAGAGAGAGAGAGAGAGAGAGAGAGAGAGAGAGAGAGAGTTTTGTTGTTTCATACCACTTAAAAGAGACAAGGACAGTTTGAATTTTCCAGATATTGTTATATAAACGATCGGGACTTCAAGTCATAAAAAGAAATTGTAAAGCAAGACTGTGTGTCGCCACAATAAGTTCACTTCTTAAGTTCGACCAAAAAGTTACTCTCATAGCACACTGTCAATATTTGTCTGGTAATTTTGTAATTGATATAATGATGTCGACCAGTGACAACGTGCTAGCTAGACTAATTACGACACTTTAACCGTCATTGCGATATCAAATGACTAGACAGCGAACTACATAAGGTCGATCGGTGCACATCTGGCCTGCACTAAAGCAGCGCACATACATTTTTTGCACAATTCAAATTTTTTGTTGGTACCACCCCCACTCCCCCTTTTCTGTTCGTTTTCTCCTCGCTCCTGCCTGCTCTTACACATCAACTTACCCATGTCAATACGCACTGTCAGAGATACACATTTTACAAGTGATACTATATTTTTATAACCCTGGTCGATCAGCTATCATAGTCTGATGATGTTTGTTTGCAAACAAGGTGAGTTTGTTTGCACTGACGCAACAGTGACCAAGTGTCATTTGTCGTTCACGCCGAAATAGCTGGCAGAGATCAGCGCCGAATGAGCAGTGATCCTTGACTCTTGCCTGATCAACCATTCTGATTCGTCATTCTACCACAGACCTATGCCGCCCAATAAAATTGCACAAGTAATTATTATGGATTTTGTCCAATAGTTGCACTTGTTGCACCCGGCACCCATATAAAAAAATTATAACAGATGAGTCGATTAAAGTCGACCAACAAGTGAGCTCTATAGGCCTAAGTAATGACCAATTAGCTATTAAACACAATTTTAACCCGGCGAAAGTGATTAACTTGCCACCTAAAATCTTTAAATAATTTTCCTCGTTTTTGTTTGTTGATTTTCAGTTTTCTTTTTCTTTTCATTCACAGCACCTCCCCCTTTTTCCTTTTGTGAATTTGTGCTATCTTTAAACAATCTTAACAATTCTCGTGGTCACACACACACACACACACACACACACACGCACACACACACACACACACGCACACACACACACACACACACACACACACACACACACACACACACACACGCACACACGCACACACACACACACGCACACACACACACAAACACACACACACACACACACACACCAAGCAGTTGGCGATGACACCAACCTCGCGTCGCCTAGTGACGTAGCCCATCACGCGCTATGTGGCAAAGCGGGGCCCGTCACGGCGCGGGCAAGAGCCCAAAGAGCATCTTGGTAGTGGAGAATCTTTGGTCACAAAGCGGGGCCCGTCACGGCGCGGACAAGAGCCCAAAGAGCATCTTGGTAGTGGAGAATCTTTGGTCATGCTGGGTCTCCTGAATAGCAGAGGAAGAAACTCTGCATTTACACAGATCGGGAGAGGCCAATTTTTCCTCTCACCCGAAGTACCATACCACGGCCATAATAATATATTATGATTATTCACTGACGCGACCCATCAGCGTAGCCATGTTCCCTAGTTTACCGCGGCCAAAAGCGTAGCCTGGATACAGTTGCTTACGTTTTGCAACTAACAAATGTTCAAAGACTAGAGGGATTAAGTTCAGTAAGATAGTACATATCTACATAAAACAAATGGTTTCTGTGCCTAAATGGTCACGCGTAGAACTCAAAACACATCAAACGAGGGGAAAGGAATAAATATAGATCTAGTGTGGGATCTGTTTTCAACAACTGGAATAATGCTGACTCGAGGTTAAAGGGACAGTTTTTATATATCCTTTTAAAAATATTTTTGCGCGTGTGTGTCTAATTTCACTGATTTGAATTATATTATATTCTAGAATGACGAGGCTAGCATGCGTTTAGGTGTATTAGTACTAGTACTAGTCTAGATTTAGATGCAGTGCCACATAAAAATTACAGTTACAGGTTTTAATTGTAGCTTGACAGTCTAATCTTTGGCTGCTGACCAGTTAACGCATCTTACAATATTCTCAGCTTCGAGCCACTATTTTCATTCAGATATCCAAATTATGGCAATTACATTAAGCTCATTACACTTGAGACCCAAAGCGGCTCTTATTGAGGCAGTTTGGAAGAAAACATAAGACACTTGCTGAAATACACTGTGTGTCGATATTGTGTTCTGCAGTCCAGCACTTTGCTATCTATTTTTGCAAATAAGCATCCTGCTGTTGTCCCCTTTTGTTTTCTACAGTAGCTGCGACTCTGCTATAACGCTAAAGATCTACCATTGCATTATTCTGATCACTCCCGTTATACAGGGTTTGAATGTATCTACGTTCCATCTTTCACGCACCACCCGCCTTCTCCCCCCTCTCCCCCCTCTCTCTCTCCCCCCTCTCTCTCTCTCTCACTCTCTCTCTCTCTCTCTCTCTCTCTCGTTAGCGACGACAGATCGGGATTAATGTCGTTAGATGTATCTGCATCTCTTCATTCATGTCACTTTCAACACTAATGACATTTGCAACATGGTCAAACACAGATAGTTTTAGTTTGTTTCCAGACTTTCATTTTCTTATTCCGGAGACCCAGATTGGCCGATTAGCTCAAAATGTATCCACTCGCACTAGCAGCCTTCTCATCCGTCTTCTCATTATCGTCTCTGTCATTATCGAAAATCATGTTTTTGTCACTAAAGCCAGCGCTGGTCAGTCTTTGTAACTTTTCCCCATCCCATTCTTTATATTGATTTTTTTTGTATCTGTATTTCAGTTCTAGCCTTTTTTTTCTAATCTTCCGGCATTCTCTTTTTAAATCTTCTTCTCTTCCCATTTAAGTTTCTTTACTTTCTCTTTGGTTTACAGTTTAAATCTGCCCTCTCACATTTTCCTCACTCTTCTTACTTGAGCTTTTGCTTTACTTTTTTTTTCATGTTAAGATTTCCTTTGATTTTGACATTGCTCCACTCATAGCCATATCCATGCAAAACTACATGTATTGGGTACGGTATTGCCTTCATCTCAGTCTGTGCCTGGCTGTGCAAAGTCGGATGACGTAAATGCCTTAACTTCAACAGGACCACGCACGTTTTTCCTTTGAAAATAATTCAGTCAATATATTTCAAGTATACAGAAAACATAATATGCAGTTTGTGGAATCTGTACATTGCCGTTCAAAAATGTTCCCAAATCAACAAGATAAATAGGGTTGAAACAACTCATCTCAAAACATCAAAAGGCGAATTGTGGAAGCTCGAAATAACACCTGGCGAAACTGACATCATCTTCGCGGAGTAGAATAGTGGCAGAAGTAAATTCGAAAGGTTAGTTGAGCTAATGTGAAGACACTCTAGGAAGAGCATGCCAGTTCAGCATTCAGGAAAGGATCGTTATAATAATTTTTTAAATAGAAACTGGCCCTGGTCAGGTCCGGCTGCGCTTTGGCATCTCTACGTTAGTTGTATATAGGGGGTTGGGGGGGTAGTATCATACTCTGCGTGTCATACCTATAGCTTTTCTGACTTTTCACCATTAAGACAGGATTTGAACAACCGACCCCTTGTTTGGTGTTATTCACCTCTCCCTCCTCGAGGCCTTTCATTACTTAGTAGATTCCCTGAGTCTCAAAAAATGTCATTCCGGTACGTGGATTCTTTGACAGCACAAGAGTGTCAACCAGCGATCGTGTTGTGGCGGTAAGGTGAGTCTCCTTCACAGGTAGAAGACGTGAGTTCGATTCCCATTTTTTAGATTGTAATCTAGTATTTTTGTCTGTCTTCAGGGACATTGAGTATCCCTCTCAACCTGAGTTGGCCTGGCAGGCAGAGTCGAAGCAGCCGGCCTCGTAATTGATAAATTGTGTCAATGGGGATACAAAACATATTTTACAATTACACTTATTCTTAACCGTGTGTGAAAGGGCTTACTATGATGATGATTATTTTTATCATTATTATTATCAGTAGAAATTAAAGGGGTTTAAAACATATTTTTGGTGTATTTTCTTTGTGTAAGTGTCAGGCCATCGGTGACGCCCTGCCCCTGTCGCATGACGAAACAGTAAGCGAGGACGAGGGCCCCCATCATGGCATGGACGAGGAATTGATGCTTCACAGGGACCATAATATTATTATATCTGCCGCTGAAGTTTCCGAGGATCGAATGAGCCATCGTACTGAGATCTTCAGAATTCACTACGGTGTGGAGATCATTTACATCAGCCCAGAGGGTGTGGTCAGCGCCCCGTCCTGTCCCAGCTCTTTGGTCATCGTCAGTCTCACACGGGCCGATGAAGGCCACACCCAGCGCAAAGGAACAGCATCTGTCTTCCTTCAAGTGAGTTGCTCGCCTAGCGAGTCAGGACCTTAACACTTTAAAATTGTGGCGGGCACATAATATGTCCGACAGCAGAGCAGATCAAAGGCCATGTTGTAGGATTTTAATGACCTTACAAAAATCCAAAACACAAATTTGTATATTTCATAGTTTGCATCTGCTGTAATTTTATGTTTCAGATAAAGAAAATAATATGAATTGAATATGTTATATATTATATATGTTGTCGAATAACCAGAACATGCATCCTTGAAGAGTTAACCAACAGATTTGGGGTTTCCCCTTGCATTTTGTCGTCATATCAGCTGGGTGGTGCGTTCTACTCAGTATGCTGTTGTCGTTAATGTACGCCCTTCCCTTCCAGTTTGTGTGTTTCATGTTGCGTTAGTGTTGTTCCCATTCGCCGGTGTATTTTGCTAATAGTATCCTTCTCTATCCATTGCGTTTGTTACTGTCATTACGTGGTATCGTTCCCTTTTCACTGGGCATGTTTCTATTTTTATGTGATGTCTAATCCATTTTCCACTACGTACTTTCTAGTCATTAGTACCCTTCCCCTTTTACTTTTACTGTGTGTTTTTTCGTTTTGTGGGACAGTAGAACACAGTTATAGCGTGACTTTTGGTTCCCGAAGAAAAATCCCGCTGTAGGCGAGTCAGGAATCAGAGGGGAAATTACCTAAATTTAAAAAAAATTCACATAATTACATCCCTTCCACATCAATAAAATTTGCCCTTCAGGTTAGTCTTTCTTTTCTTGTCAACTTCGTTGATTATCTCGGCCTTTAATTCGAGTGAGAAGCATTACCTTTAGACTTTTTTGGAAGCCATCTTTTCCTCGGTTTGTTGTTTGTGCTGTCTATCGCACCGGTAGGCCTACGGTAGAACTGGTGAAGTGGATGCATGCGTATGCCTGAGCATCAACGATCACAATTTAATGAGGCAGGAATCACACACTACACGCTTTCCTCTTCTTTTAATTTTTGGCTTAGCCTAGGCCTAGGGCTATGACCTATACGCTTTTATGCGGTACTGAGCGTCTAGGCTATGGCACATCACTTTAAATTTTGGAGTGGCTCCCGTAACGAGTCTCTCCGCACCGTCTCTCTCTCTTCCGCCTGCCCCACCTCACTTATCACTGGACTGGCCAATCACCGCTGACTGCCTGTTTGGAGCCCACCTACAGCACCCCCTCCCCCTTCCACCCAGCTAGAGCTTGCTCGATCTCTCCCGCTGTATCCGAGTTCGGGACTTTCTTTACCCCGCTATATCCAAGCATAAGTGATTGAGTTTACATAGGGAAAAAAGGGATTCCGGTAAGGTCCAGCTGAAAGGATGGTCCCGCTGTAGTGGGTGCCGCTATAGTCATGTTTTACTGTATCAGTTTCCTTCCTCATCTTTCTTTTCATAATGTGGTACATTTCCCATTCTGTTGGGTATGTTTATTTTGTTGTTTTTGTGTAATATCAAACCGTTTTTCTACCGAGTATGCCTTTGCCATTATGCAGTATCCTTCTCCTTACACACACACACACACACACACACACACATATATATATGTACGTATGTATGTATGCCTATCTATCTTTTTTGTCACTATGTAGTATCTCTCCCCTTCTACTGGAAATGGTTTTTCTTCACGTGGTACATATTCTCTTTATTCAGTATCTTTCCCCTCCACTTGTTATGAGTTTTTTTCCTTTTCCACTGTGTATATTCTTGTCATTTTGGTATACTGTTTCACGTAGTATGTTTTTAGCCTTTATGTGGTATCTAATCTCATTTCCACTGTGTATATCACTGTTGTTTTACAATGTCGGTTCCCTTTCCATTCCACTTTGTATGTTGTTGTCTTTGCTATTGCCGTGTTATAATTTTTAAATTTTGTTATAAATATCCCAGGGTTATTTTCCTGTTATTTTACTCTTCCTTTTATTGATGGTACTGTGGTTTTAAGTTCATCATCCAGTGGAGTTTGTGTTGTTTTTTGTTTTTTGTTCTTCCCAACATCATTGTTACTGCTCCTCTTTTGGGAATGATACGTGACAATGATGACAATAATAATAATACTATTAATCTATCTATAACACCTAGAATCATGTATTGACCGAATGCTGTATGATCTGGACTATTGTGCACTGTACGTCCACTATTCCCAGGTTGGAGACTGGATGTACCCACTGGTTGCAGGTTCCACACCAGCCTTGCGCACCGTCGATGGAGCTTACTTGTTCCCCGACAATAATACAAAGCAACCAGGTGAGGGTGGCAGTGAATTTTTAGCATGTCTTCTTCTTCTTCTTCTTCTTCTTCTTCTTCTTCTTCTTCTTCTTCTTCTTCTTTTTCTTCTTCTTCTTCTTCTGTTGCTGCTGCTGCTAAATTTCTTCTCTTCGAAACTCTCTTTTAAGAAACCAAATGTGTGTTGCCTTTATTTTATTTACACTACCGTATTATATTTAGTGATGCACTCATGTAGTTCACTGAATAGACGAGTACGAGTACCGGTAGGCCATGCATCACAGAAGGGGATTATGAGATGTTTGGGATGTATGGCCTTATTTCGTTTTGACAGACATCCTTTTAAAGCAGTATGCATGATGCAGCTTTGTCTGGGCGGTAAACAGAGGAGGTACGACCTCGCCATCCTTTCATATCTTGACTTCGTTGATATTATACTCTAAAGGAGAGATGTGATCAATACGTTTGGAATCAAGGAAGGTCTTTAACGTGCGCAACCAGATATCAGCCCGAAGACCACGAGCCTGCAAGGCTTTTATTTCATACCTGACAGGTCTAAAGGTAGTTCGGTGATTGAGGGGCATTGAATATAATGAAACATAACATTAACCTAGCTTCTGAACCAGCAGAAATGTCTAATTTTAATTTACGTAAAGCTCAGTTGGGTTTGAATTTGTAGGCAGGCACGAAGGCAGGCGCGAAGGCAGGCGCGAAGGCAGGCGCGAAGGCAGGCACGAAGGCAGGCACTTCTGTGATAATCGGAACGCGTAAAAAAGCCTGAAAACCCTAACATTATATAACTATTTTTGTACTATCTCACAGCGCTGTTCTCTACTCCAAGGTAGTCCTAAAATTTTTCTATTTCATGACCAACGATACTAGGTATCCCATAACTCACTTCTCTAACCATGGAAGCCGAGAATGTTTCTGAGTGTTCTCAGAGGGTCTGCTGGGATAATAATAGTTGTAAAGCGCATAGAGCATGCTCTTGAGCATGGATATGCGCTATATAAATGCAATTATTATTATTATTATTATTATTATTATTATTATTATTATTATTATTATTATTATTATTATTATCTATTTTGTAGGTACATCGAGGGCTCTCCTGGTCTAGAGGTTACGGTTCTTGCCTCTCATTCAATAAGTCCTGGGTTCGAATCCGGACAGCGACGGGGAAATTTTCACCTCTAAAAATTTTCTCCTTTCACCTCCTTTCCTGCTCTCTATCTAAGTTCTGTCGTCTTCGTCTCCACTGTCTGCTCCCTCCCCCCCCCCTCCTCTGGGCGCCGGACACTCTTTCTGCAGCCTTTCTACTGCTACTCCTCGGCTCCTTCTCACTGCTGTCTTTCATCTACACCTCTGATCTTATGGTAGGTGAGATCTTACACCTAGCCTTCTTGGATATAGGCGAAAAATTTGCGCACGTTAAAGATCCCGTACCCTACAGTCCTACAGCCATGCTATCAGAAAAACAGTGAGAAGAATGTGACCATTAACCTTTGAAATCATTTTCATGGTCAATGCACAAGAAAGAATGAGAGATAAGATAAAGACGACTGATGTTTGAGGAAAGAAGGAGAAAACCACACCAGAGCACCTGCCAACCACCCACACACTAATGTTATGTAACAATGCCACTAATACTCCACATCTGTGGTAATTTTTCTTTTAAAGTTTGTTTGCAATCTTCACCATGTGCCTGTTGGCTGTGCGCTTCGTTGTCGCATGCAGAACGTGTGAGTTCGATGCCTGTTTGGGGAAGTGTCGTATGACATGCATTAAGTACTATTTGTTAGGATATTGTTCCCTTTCAGCCCTGGTTCGCCCTGGAAGAGAGGGTCGAAGCAGCCTCTCTCTTAAATGATCCAGATAGTGTCGATAGAGGGTGTGAAACATGGACAATATTTCATTAGATTTTTACATGTCAGCTGTGATGGCCATCTTTCCTATGCAATGTGTGCATCTTTCCACTGCAGGTTCGGTAGTATGCCTCAAGCTGCCCGAACGTCTGGCTGAGCGGAAGCGAAGCAGATTTGAGCGTCTCATCGAGTCGTTCACTGCCCTGGAGCTGCAAAGGGACCACTCTCGCCACAACCGGCAGGGGCATAAGAAGTGAGAATGAGAGTTGCTGTTACTGGTATCGAGTGTCTTCAATATTCTTTGTTTCTTGATTCAGCGTGTTCATAGTGGGCTAAAGTGCTATCATAGCTGGAGCTGGTGCCTTCTTCTATCACCATGGGCAATTTATGACCCATCACATTGGTTTACAAACGTGTCTGATTAATGATTTGTCTGAACATGAACTAGTCATACACTTCGTATTTGATGATGATGATGATGATGATGGTGGTGGTGCCGTCGGCGACGGCGACGGCGACGGCGACGGCGACTATCTACATATTAGAACTCCATGAAGTAATAATGTGCAAGTAGCTTAAGGACTCCATGTGGTGGTTATCCGAGTTTCAAAGTCGCAAAGTTCACCTCCAACAGAATCCAAAGTTGTTTTCAAAAAGATGTTTTATTTTTTTTAAAGTGGACGACGTGTAGTATTTTGAGTTGACTTGCACAAGCTCAAGTAGGTGAAAACATTTTTAGTCTTGCTGATTTGGTTCAAAAGTTTTAGTCGTTTGAATTGGGAAGTAAGAAACGCAGTTTTCAGAAAATTGAGGTTTTTGCCTGATACCTCTCTGAACAGCTGAGTTTGTCAAATGACTTATTGGGTCTTTTACTAATTTTTCCCCCGCATTTCTACATTGCTGATTTTAGTGGGAAACCCCATGTTTATTTTTGGTCTATGGGTATGAAGCACATGTTATTGTGGATAGCCATTTGACGTAGTGAATCACAAGTGTATCTGAGCTGTTGGGCATTACATTGCCTACTGTGTAAATAATAGGGTTAGATTATACTGTGTCTGGTTTTGTCACTCTTACTTTTTATCTTGTGGTGTGGATGCTATGAGATGAGCCATGTAGGCTTTTGTTTTAATGAACATGTTTCGATGCCTCCATCGACACAATTTAGTACATTAATGAGGCGGGCTGACTGGGCCCATCCTGACTGAGAGTGAAAGGTATACAAGATCCCAGTAGAAAACCCCAGCAGATAATTGATTAAAATTCTCCCCACTCAGGAATCGAACTGTGTCTCCTGCATGCGACGGCAAAGCGCTTCACCGCCACTTCACAGACACTGGTTGTGTAGGCTTTGCTTTTGTTACACGTTGTGGTTTATGTCCACTGCAATAGTGATCGTGCAGGGTTCCCTTCACTTTTCAATTGTTTGGCAGACAGGAGAGTGGTCAGTTGCCACTATAATGTCGTTCATTTACTATTGCAGATTTTTGTGCGTAAGTATGTAAGTGTAGGTATTGGCCTCTTTTACTCTCTCTTTCGTTTGTTTGACGGAGTAAAGGGAAGCGCGATAGCACAATAATGATCCTTTAGTGCAGAGGTATTGTAAGTAAGGCAATTCAGAAAGAAACACTAGAGGGAAAAAAGAGCAGAGGAGTAGGACTTACCAGTAGTGGTGCCTTCCACCAACCACCTGCTTTTCTCGTTTGCTTCCTATCCAGTTTTGTTGTAAATCTGTAGCTGTAGTAATACATAGTGTCGAAGTTGGCCCTGGAGTAATTAAACTCCCTCCCCTGTCCACTGTGTTTTACTCACAGCCCACCACAGTACGGCACATGTAAACTGAGTGAAATCAAGGCGTCGAGCAACTCTGACAACATCGTCACAGGTACATATTATGTATATATATATGTAATGGACTCTCCACCCAGTCATTGGTGTACATGTATTGTAGGAGCAATAATAATTTTATAATCGATGGTGACGTGTAAGAAATACAAACCATAGTATATTTTTTAATAGCTTCATATGATGGTTATAAAAAAAAAGATAACGTTATTTTATTACCATTACTCTTACGTAGGGTCAGTCAATGACCGCCTTGAACTAAGAGTCTTATAGCTCTGACGTCACAAAGGGCGCACTTTCATTTACAAGGCTGCGCATAATTGTTTTCATTCCGATTGTGACGGAAACGTTTCTTTGTATTCAGTGACGTGCTAATAATTATAAGGTACCTCAGAGAAAAAAAAATCAAATTGTCTGAATGTAGATTAAAAAAAAAACTGGATCAGAAAGAGCTTTAAAAAACGATGAAAGTTATCGTTTAAATCATTAGAATCCGACAGTGAATAAAAACTTTATGAAGGTTCAGATTCATTCAAAACGTAGAACATTTCACCCAGCCTGCAAAACAAAGAAAAAAGCAGGACTTTGAACAGTCACACAGTCATGTAATGACAATACACAAACTTATTTATTATGTTTTCTTGAAGCCAAGGACGATATTGCTGCATACAGAGACTAAAAAAATCATTGGGCTTATAATTTTGATTCTAAACCCATAAAATTGTATGTAGTATGTAGATAGCTTTTCAGTGAACAATTTTTACTTGCTGTATCAAAAGAGGCCACTTCCAGAGGCCTGTTGCTCGCAAAGTTATTATCCTGTAAAGTCAAAACTTTGTAAAATCGTTGATAACAATGCAGGGTACAAGCTTATTATATTATTATTATTAATTTTTTTTTTGCAAGCATAGGACAGAATGTTTGAAATATGCCATCGTGAAAATTAGCAGATATATATAGTAAGCTGAAGGAGCAACAATACTGGTAGTTTCCCCTGATAACGGTTATAACAGGACTTGCTTACAACAGGGAAAAACTGCCGGTTCTGTCTGTCCTGTAAATACTACGAGTTTGACGGTACCATGATTCGAAATAGGAAAGACCACCGAACACAAACGATTATAGATTTCCTTTAATTTGAAGCCTGGGAGAGAAATGGCTTGCATTTGACACAAAATCGACTCTTCGCCCCTCTCATGTGCACTTTTCCAGTTAGGACGCAAAGCGCGAGGAGGGGGTGGGAGTATGTTTCACAACAGCATGCTTCTGTAGACCAGAAAAGCACAGATTCCATTTATGTCATACACCCCAATATGTACGTATGTAGGGAAAAGATTTGCTTTTCAGTTTAATCAATGCAAAAATTGTTTTCTAAAAAAAACCCCCAAAACCCAAAACAACAACAACCCCCCCCCCCCCCCCTCCCCCTAGCAATTTCTGGTGATTTCTTTTCCAACTTCGTTTTTCTTACAATATATTTTGTCACTGTGTCATTTTGCCTGCTTTTGAAATAAAGAGGGTGACCTTCCCTCTTTAATGGTTTGAAAAAAATTAGTCATTTGCGTTTTCTCCTGGTCTACGGGTTTTAGACCGTTTGAATAACCCTATCGGGTACGCTCCGAAAAACTTGGTGACCAAATGCACTGAGCGCGACAATCCACCAGTGGACCCTGTTGTCGTTTTCCTTATAGGACTAGGAATTAATTGCTCTCAGTGGAAAAAAAAAGAAACAGAACAACATTCATGTATTTCTAAAGAAGAAAGAACACCTTGCTGAACACGAATATAAAATATATAAGTTTCCTCTTATATGTCAAGACTAGATATATTTTGTTGAAAAATGGCACGAATCTGACACCAAATCGACGCTTCGCCTCGCTCGCGCGCACTTTTCCAGGGCCAAAACTTGAATTGTTGGCTTACCTATACTATAAATTATGCACATTCATACTTCTGAGCTGTGTGTGATGATTCGTATTGTGCCAGAACATAGACTTTGCCATCTTCTAACTGACTGAGTTGTACGGTCCTTATCAAACTAATGCAAATTTGCCCTGTAACACCGTCAGCGAATTGGCCGTCAGATTTGCACACTAAACTCGACGCACGACATCCACTCAGTGGCTACTTGATAATCCTTCTCACACACGCATCTACGAATTTGGTCTATTTTTAGCGTTTGTCGCTGATTAACTGATTTGCTCCTGATTTGAGCTGAGTATGAAAATGCTTTTTAGTCTTTAGCCAATATTTAAAGAAAAAATTGGAATTAAATTTTAAAGTCCCCTGGAGAAATGTCAAAGGAACTGCATCACCTCGGCCTGTCAGCAAAATATCCGGCTTCGCCAAGATATTGGCCCAATGACCAAAAAGGCTGGTGGGCGCCAGTAGTAAGGCACAAACACTCTCTCACATATCTTCTCCACCCACATCTGTGCTCATAATCATAAAAATATAATATTAATATGCTTGCAATCCCAAAACAGGCTCACAGACACGTGCATGATATAAATGGTTACAATAATTGTGAACATTAATAATATCGTTAAGCTAGATACGTATTCAGTATCCTGATTGTAACCCAATGATATTCTGATATTGCCTGCTTTAATTTATATTAAAGGTCATGCTACAAAGGTGATTAAGATGGTAGGAGTTTAATGGATGATGGCAAAATTTCTTTGTGTAGATCTTTCTTTGTTACAGATCAGAAACCTAAGTCTTTTACTTCTGAATTATATTTTTATTTGAGGGAATAACGTTATACCGTCAGCCCCACTGTACCGCTAACGTCTTGCTCATCCTAAAGTAGGTGGTATAACATAACAGGTTTGACTTATAATATATTCCGATTATTATATAATGGGACCTTTTACAGTATACATCTAACTCTTTAGTCAGTTGTTATAAAAGCAAATAGTCAGCACAAAAATTGAAATAAAAAATCTCACCCGACTAATATTTTTATAGTGTAGACATAACACTCCTCGGTCCGCACTAAAAAAAAAATAATCATTGCCCCCCGCCCAAATATATTATCTTGTACCATACATATACAGATACATATGGATCTTATCTATATATATATATATATATATATATATATATATATATATATATATATATATATATATATATATATATATATATATATATATATATATATATATATATAAATATATATATATATATATATGTGTGTGTGTGTAGTATAATCCGCTTATATCGACATGTTTTGGGAAGTGGATTTGATGTCGATATATACAAATATCATAAAAAGTGAAAATATAAAGCCAAAGAGGAAAAAACAAGGGGAGGTCGGCGGTAAAAACACAACACTACTTTTTAAAGCTGGCTGCTTCCCTTGATTCTTACACAACTACACAGTGAAACCAAAAACTAACAAGAGGCAGAGGGGAAAAGGGGGGGGGGAGTGGAGTTACGGTATCAAAGACCGAGCAAAGCGAAGCGCACACTACACACCAGGGTTACCACTCCTGGGTTTTTTAACCCAGATCTGGGTATTTCGACTTGGGTCCAGGGTTCTGGGAAGGTACAAGGGAAATTTGAGTAAATCTGGGTTCTTGGCTCATTTCGTTCTTAATACAATGATCACATAGCCTACTGTGTTATTATATTGAGATTAAGTAGGCCACTTACATCGTAGGCTAAATTACATGTGTTGTCATTAAAATCTGGCCTACTGCACACGCTGTAAGCAATGTTATTTTCAATGTTGGAGTATTCTGAAAATTGCTTATTGAAGTTGAAAATTAATTAACTTAAAACATTTTTTTGTTGAATAAAATTTTTTAAAATTTTTTACCTCAGGCCTTTTTTCCCTTATATAAGTCATGTGTCTGGGTTTATGGACTGAAATCTGGGTTTATTTTGACACAAATTTGGCCGGATCTGGGTTTGTGTCAAAATAGAGAGTGGCAACCCTGCTACACACCAGCGCATACTTTGTTGTAGCAGCCTTGTAGGCCTGTTTGCGGCCGCTTGACGGGGAAAATGGAAAGGTGAGGCACTGACTCTGACACTTGCCAGCAACAGACTGAGAATGAGAATGGGATGGTGAAGGGGAGTGAGGGATCGGAAAAGGGGGTAGGCAGATGATGCTCAGCACGCGAGACACTCACGTCTGTGAGGCATTGTACTGTGCCGGAGACTACACTATGTAGGCCCTTCATGACCTACTAAAGCCTGGTGTGTCGAATAGGCTACTTGGTGGGTATGCGGACTTAATGAAAAACGAATGCGTTGACCGTTAGCGTGGCTTCCCCCCCCCCCATTTATGTTCGTGGGCTTCGCCAGGTACCCAGGAAGCATGTCGATAAAGCAGAGTGGACCGAAAAAAAGTCGATATAAGAGAAATTGTTCAGTGAAGATATTGAAGGAAAATTTTCGTAATTGGAAAATATGTCGATGTCAAAAAGTCGATAGGCTACATCGGCTGTCGATATAAGTGGATTATACTGTATAACAGGGCAGAGTTTTTTGTGTTAATTTCTCCCCTACCGTTGGACTCAGTAGCTGAAGGGTGCATCGTTAGCTCGTGTTAAGACCCTGGTTTAAATCCCCAAATGGGTGTTCTGAACTTAGATTGTTTTGGAAAGTTTTGAGGCTCTCCACCCGTTTGAGTCTGTCCTATCGGAGATGGACTTAAAATCCGGAGTTCCTGCCTCTGAAATAACCTTATAGGGTTGATATCGGCATTTAAATCTATGCAATCTCCAACACAGGGGCAGAGTGGATCGCCTGGGGCATTGAGAAAACCGCTGAGAAGGTGGGTGACCTCATCAGAGTCGGTTCCGAGAAACTACGAGAGCAGATACCTCCAGAGTCTACTGAATGCAATGTTGACCCAGGGATGCAGATGGCCATGGCCGTTGCCAGAAAGACCGCTGAAGGCGTGGCTGATTTCACGGGATTCATGGGTGAGCTGTACTAGCTTCTTCTTCCTCCTCCTCTTTATTCTTCTTCTTTTGTGTGCCAAATCTGAAACGGACACCGGCACTTCTTGTTCACTACTCATTACTCAGCTGGGATGCTCTTATTTAGTTATTATTACACATACAGTTTTTCTTAGTCGACCGTCAGTTCTTCAAGTTCTCCAAGTACGTTTAGCCTTGGTCTTCCTGTACCTTTTTAGTCATCTATTTTTTTTCAGTGAGAGAAAGGTGTCTACTGTATTCTATCGATTCAAGTGTCTAGAGACTGCATTTGTCTCTTCCTTACATCATGTAGGTTTTTTTTTGTTAATGACTGTCACATGCTGGCTTCTTTCAGCACCTCCATTTTTGATTTCTTTTCCTTCATAAATTTCTCAACAGTCTTCCACAAGAAACTTTATTTCTGTTACCTCAGATGTGTATTCCAGTGTCTTAAGTAATTTTCCTACATGTTTAAGCAAAAAAAAGCTTAAAGTTAAAGCCCTCACTTAAGATTTTTTTTGGTGTGCATTTTCTGTTTTTCGGGATTGGACTCATTTTGTGGATCTATCTTTAATTAAGCTATTGCAATTCTTCGGTAAAGTTTTATTTCTGTGGTACATTCGTCATCAGATGTAATGACAGGGCCTATGTTAGATATTTGAATTGTTAGACTTGTTTGACACATGTATTGACAATCATTAATGGTAGTCTCACTTTTGCTAACAAAATAACCTTTAGAGCTATTTTTAAGTATGGAAATCTTCGATGGCAGGAGTTTAGGAGAGGTTTTCCCGTAAGTTACAGCCCAGCTCTATTCAGGTCATACTCACCAGATCCTGGCAGATCATCTGTGGGAAAAGTCACATGCAGATCAATTAAATTTATGTGTCCAAGGTGGTGTGCACCCTCCCCCGCCCTCCCCCCCCCCCCCACCTCCCTCCTCCATACTTCCTACGGCACAGTGCTTGAATTTTGAAAGTCAATTTTTTTAGTGTCATAATGCCATAAGCGCTCCAAACGACAGTTTGTGAAAGATCTTTAACCAGGGCCACCTGAAAGAGAAAATTGACTTTGGCCACATAAATAGATCAACTGAACTAGAGAAGCTACAGTGCTGCTGTGTTTTAGAAAGACAGAGGGAAAGAAGAGCAGAGGAAGACAGAATACCACATACACAGATGGCCTGAACAAATTTGCAACAAATAACACAATTTAAAAAACAAACAAAAACAAACGTGATATAATCAAGAAGACCGATAGAAAAGGGAGGAGTGGGGTACAACTACTATGATCGTCAATGTCTGCTCCAGACCAGATACCTTACGAAAAAGAAGATTGCCATAAAACTTTTCATCAGAATACAAGCAGCACACACACACATACAAACACACACACTCATACACACACACACACAATGCCCAGCAACTCTCTCCCTCTCCCGTAATTCCCATTCACTGTGTCTGGCGATGATGCCTGTACGTGTATCAGTATCCTGTAGCCAACGTCTTACAGTTTTCCGTACCATTGCGCATACATGTGTATGTCATACATATCCAGTGGCTGCACTGGGAGAGGCGACCATGTTTGTAGGACGCCAGCTGGCCCCTCACGTCCGCCGTCAGGGGGAGAAGTACTTGCCTGAGCACATGAGCAGAACGGACCCCTGGACAGGCAAGTCTGAACTGGATGATTTGGCGGAGAAGACAGCCTCGGGAATCAAAGGTGAGAGCCAGTCTGAGTCTGAGATTGAAAGGTGAGCTGGTGATGAAAGTGAGCTGGTGTGAGGCTGAAGGGTGAGTTGATAATGAAAGGTGAACTAGTTACTAGTGTGAACCTGAAGGGGAGCTGATGATGAAAGGTGAACTATTTACTATTGTGGGTGTGAGTCTAAAAGGTGAGCAAGTGATGAAGGCGAGCCAGTTTGAGGGTGAAGGGTGAGTTGATGATGAAATGTGAACTTAGTTACTAGTGTTAGTGTGAAACTAAAAGGTGAGCTACTGTTGAAGGTGAGCCAGTGTAAGGCTGAAGGGTGAGCTGATGATAAAAGGTGAACTAGCTACTAGTGTGAATGTGAGACTAAAAAAGGTGAGCTAGTGATGAAGGTGAGCCAGTGTGAGGCTGAAGGGTGAGCTGATGATGAAAGGTGAACCAGGGTGAGACTGAAAGTGAAAGGTGATCTAGCGGTTAGTGAATGGGAGAGCCAGTTGATGATTGAAAGATGAACCTGGGAAAACTTAATCCAGTTCCACTGTTCCTTCCCCTGTAAAAGTAGCTACGAACAAGGGTAACTGAAAGGTGAGCTGGTGTGAGACTTAAAAGAAACCTGATGATGGAGAGATGAGACTGTGTGTGAGTGTGTGTGTGTGTGTGTGTGTGTGTGTGAGAGAGAGAGAGAGA